ATCAAGGTGAAAATACACGGGGAAATTGCACTAAAATTGCCTAATTTTAGGTCATGATATCAAAAGGAGAAAGGTACATTCTCGGCTCAAAAATTCATGGGGAGCAAATAAAGAAGTCTAAATATTATGAATAAGTTACAATAAGGAAGTTATTTGATTGTATAATCTAGCGGTAAGCTTTCTTGTGAGGCGAGTCGACGCCCGGAGCCGTGGAACGGACTACTTTCTCTCGCGGAAGGAAAAGAGAAACGCATAGAACTCTCGACGTGGCTTTCCGGCTGTATCTGGCTTCTGAAGTACACTATAGCTATGTCCCGCCATGGTCAGCATGTGAGCAGTGCCTTTACAGGTGGTATGGATTATGGCATGCTTCCTAACGAACACTGAAAAATATTTCACTATCCTCCTTGTTACGTGCTTCAAGGGACCGGTCATATGTGGAGGAGAAAGGTAAAATCCTACAAAATCTACATTACTCCATGTTAGGATATTTAAAAAAAATACACTTGACGGTTCAAGATACTTACTCTCAGCCATTTTTAAGGATAATGACAGTGCCGTTCGCCATGTTTTATGACTTATCTTCTGCGCGCGCTGTTAGTGGCCACGCGATAAGAAAATACCTGCCACGCGAGGCTCCATCAGCGCAAGTGAAGATTACTCTGTGGTACTCCAAAAATCACCACCCCCAGGTAGTAGGAGATTGGGTGATCGTTACTGAACCAACAATTTGGCAGTTTAAACCATTTCACAAGATTCACATCAGTAGATCGGTATAACCTCCTTGCGGCAGAATGCTGTAAAATATGCAAACGTATTTTGAATCCTTTGGACTCATGTTGGAAAGCATTCGTTAGCACGATGTCTCGCCGCCACCAATTATGTAACAAATTTCAATCTTAGCATGAAAGTTCATCTGTGTTGGTACAAGTCATTATGAAATAAAGACTAAACTTTAACTTCCAACACTAGAAATAGAATTGGGACTTACCCCAAATTTTCGGTTGACTCCATCAACCTTGTTCACGGAATGGACCCGTCTACTCTTGGAACGTGACGTCAGAGACACGTGACCGTAGTAGCGATAGGGGACTAGTAGTCTTACCATATTCCAAGGGTACCTCTGAGGCCCTTCGGAGGATCTTTAACAAGTACGGTTTTAAGACCTGCTTCAGACCCACTCGCACACTTAGGAATATTCTGGTGGCACCGAAAGACAAAACTCCAAAGGAAAACAGGTGTGGAGTAGTGTACCACATCAAGTGCCAGGGTCAAACCAGGAAGGGTCCATGTAAGGAGACATACATAGGTGAGACAGAACGTGCATTAAAAACGAGATTCCTGGAACACCAACGTCCGAGTTCTGTAAACTCAGAAGTCTCATAACATATTCACATTGAGTCCCCGGGACATTCAGTATCTCTAGAAGGGGTTAAAATCCTTGATTCTGAATCGGACTTCTTTGCAAGAGGAGTTAAGGAGGCAGTTTACATAAGAGCTCAAAGACCTACCCTGAACAGAGACGGGGGGCGACACAAGTTATCTGGCACGTATGACCCGCTACTACGGTCACGTGTCTCTGACGTCACGTTCCAAGAGTAGACGGGTCCATTCCGTGAACAAGGTTGATGGAGTCAACCGAAAATTTGGGGTAAGTCCCAATTCTATTTCTAGTGTTGGAAGTTTAAGTTTAGTCTTTATTTCAATTTTCAATCTGTATACTTGAATGTCTTATTAATTTGTTTTTAAGAGAGAGAGAGAGAGAGAGATGCAGTTAACAGATGTAGTTATCAAGCGATAAGTATGAAAGCAGTGGTACTAACATGGTAAAATGGCTTCAGAAGCGTATAAACCTCTGTATCTGTATATCTGTATCTGTGAGAGCAAGTTTGGGATATACATGCCAAAGAGACACTTACTCACTCACTCACTCATCCTCGTCGGTCAAGTGTACGGAGTCAACGACATTTATCATCAGAATATAATAGCATTTCATTTTATTTATCTAACCAGGAAGTGTTGATCGTCTGCAGGTGCTTTGAGAGAAAGACAATTAAGGGTTAATGACCCCCCCCCCCCAGTGTATGTCACAAGGCCTGGTCATTTTCTATAACCACTGATTGAACCGCCGAAGCGCTAGCAAACTATGCGGTTTAAAAGGTGGTTATAGGAAATGACCAGGCCTTATGACATCATGTACACAAAGAAATAGGCGGGCCATTAACGTTGTTATAGTATAGCCTATCCTACTTTTGTTGTTTTTCCATCCGCGATTCCTCCAACTGGTTAAGTTGCTGTCTGTCCAAACAAGCAAAACTGGTACGTGTGCCCTTGTTTGTCTATCTCCGTATGGTGCGCTAGTTTTTCCAGGGCGTCCCATTGGTCTACTATTGCTTCGATATCTTATGCTTGGAAGTTGGAGATTGAATTCCACATTGGGGTCGTGTAGCGTAGCGGCAGAGTACGCGACGCGACTCGGAACTTAGAGTCCCGGGTTCGAGTCCTGACATGCCACCGATCTTGTGCCCTTGGGAAAGGCACTTAACACGACTTTCCTCACTTTACTCAGGTGTAAATGAGTATTGTCCTGTCATGTATTTGTCCCCTGTGTTGGTGGCGGCATTAATATAAGTTGAAAAAACTTGAGTGTGCCGTCACCACGTCTGGTGATTACATGTTGGAATAAAAAAAAAAAGAATTCCACATTCATTGTGATGTGCCCTCTCTGCAAAGATGTCGGGGAACTTCAAAGATGTAGTTAGACAGATTCTGTTTTCTAATCCGAATCATGTTCCACCATGTTCCATCTGACGTCATTCGAACAGAACATTCGACTTGGTTTCGGGGTTTATGGGATTTAATCACCGCTGAGTAGGTTATTGCGTCATAACCAAAAGGAAATGGGGTCCTCTTATTGGTGAACGTCATCTCGCTATATGACATGGCTGATGTTGTCGAACACAGGTGGTTGCCTGTTTTCTCGGCGTACAGTCGCATTAGAGCTGTGTCTGTATAGCCGGTATAACCCCCGCCTTTCGGTGTAACACATCAGCTTCGCAGGCACACGGTGCAGCGGCAGCTGGCTACATTACACCGATCGACTTGTTACACCTAACCCTTGAACATCTAACTCTAGACATTGTTTAATGCTATCTGTCCTTGGTGACAGCGAGTTCCACTCTGCGATAGTTCTAGGAAAGACTGAATTCTTGAACACCTCAATCCTTGGTTGATATCCTGGTGGACATCCCAATTACTAAGTACCTAATACTAGTCCAGAAGAGAACAAGAAATAGCCATGCCTTCAAGTACCAGAGTTGGTACTTGAAGGCATGGCTATTTCTTGTTCTCTTCTGGACTAGTATTAGGTACTTAGTAATTGGGATGTCCACCAGTTTATTAGTCATTTTGTACTCTCCAAGCAGAGGTTTGGGTTTGGGGTTATTTGTATCGTGTTTTTAGGCTTTTTTTATCGGGGTTTCTCTTTTGCACTGAATTTTTTTTCCCACCAAACCCAACCTCTGCCGGCACTCACCCCGGGGCGGGGCAAACCTATTCAAGAAACGTGACAGTTGGGTTTGGTGGGAAAAAAACTCCGATATCGGAGAAACCCCGATAAAAAAGCCTAAAAACACGCTAAAAATAACCCCAAACCCAAACCTCTGCTTGGAGAGTAGTCATTTTGTACATCATTCATAGTCTGGACATCTTTCTTCTGTCTTCCAGTGACACCCACTGTAGGTTACTTTTCATTTCCGTGACACTAGCACCTCTTTCATAGTTGTTCATACAGAATCTTGCAGCTTGATTCTGTAGCCTTTCCAGTTTATCTTTGTCTTTCTTTGTATATGGGTCCCATACTGTGGCGACATATTCTAGGTTTGCTCTTACAAGTGAAGTATATGCAAGTGATTTTACTCTAGTTGGGCATGTCCACGGATTACGTTTGATCACTCACAATGTCTGTTTATTTTAATTAGCCTTAGTTGTGATATTACCCCACTTCAGACCGCTTGTCAATGTGACGCCCAGATACGGATGGGTTTTTGTGGTTGCTAAAGCCTGAAAACAAAACTGGTAGCTAGTTGCATGTGGTGTTCGTTTGTTTGTTTGTTTGTTTGTTTATATGTGCATAATGTAGCATTTTTCTGGAATAAAATGCATGAGCCATTTGCTTTGCCATTCTTCCAGCGTGTTCAGGTCGTTTTGCAGAAGTTGCGAGAATGTCTTCTCAATACAATATATCAAGTTTGGTGCAGAAATTGTTTCACCACAGAGATGTGATATAATTGCACAACATGTCGAAAAGTGTTTAAAGCGAATAATGTTGGTAAACACTGAGAATTACATTCACATTAATTTCATCAGTATCCTCTCAATAAAATATACTGTATCGAAAATGGCAACTAATTGGTTTGTTGTGTATTTTTCAGTATGCGGACTAGATATGGCGCTGGGGAATTCTTATATCTATTGGTCCTGTGTTTATTATAGGGTTAATGACCCGCCCTGAGGTGAATACAGTGTCATAATTAATGGTCGGTTCCTATAACCACCGAATGAACGACCGAGTCCGCAGAGCGTACGAGGTCGTTTATAAGGCTGAGTTCACAGGCTGACACTCATGAGCAATGCAGGAAATCGCACCTCCGTGGAGCTAGTGCTATGGAGGTACAAAAAGTTCTGCCGCAGGTCTGTACTAATTTGTTTATTTGTTTATTATGATTTTCCACAAAGTGAAAGGGAGGGCAAAACAGGTGCATACGCACCTTTACAAGTTGCCCTCCCCCATACAAAAACACATATACAACATCATATACAACATCAAAATTTACATTATCAATAACAAGTAAAAAATACATCAATATAGAAGCGGCCTAATCACCTCCATGGAGCTAGCCTCTATATACTATATATGATATATTTTCGAATATCGGTAGTTACAACCGCGAAGTATCTGTTCATTGATTACCTTGTACCATGTTTTTTTCTCTTCGCAGACCCAGAAAACATTGACAAAAAAGAAAGATACCCCTTGGCTGTGATGGTTTTCATCCACGGAGGAGATTTCATGCACGGAGCGGGGAGCATGTATGATGGAAGCGTCTTAGCCAGTCACGGGACTGTGGTTGTGGTCACGATCAACTACAGAATTGGCATCCTCGGTAAATCTTTGCAATTTTACAGTTTAATGACACCATACATCATAATTGTTTTTGCATACATCTTTAATCACTTACTAACAAAGCACGTCTTCGAGAAAATAAGGGCACTCACTCGCATTAAGTTTGGCCATTGAACGCACTAGTTAAGTACCCTGAAATAAGGACTGATAAAAGTACTTCAGCACCAGAAATCACATGACTAGTTTTGCTTATGAAGGGCAAATGTCAACACTGTGCTGCACAGTAGTTGGATTTGAGCTGGTCAGCCCCTTGTTTTCTTTGTCATATTTGAGAGAACCTTGTGATTTTCTGTTTTTTCAATACTAATAAATAGGAAAGTACATGTGCTTGTATTATTCTTTCAGGGTATTTAACAATAGCCTTCATAGCCAAAAGTAATGGTGGTCTCTGCCCTCTACACTCAACAAAGGCACTCTGCGTTTCGTGTCAGAGGGCAATTAAAATTATAGAAACCTCGTTCTTTGGAGAGATTGACTGAACCATTACAATGTTATGATAATGATCTTAAAAGACTATCGTAGAAGATAATCTGTGTTGGTAGTAATCATAGCAGGATGCTTAACTTTATTCCAACACTTCCAACACTACACTATACACACAATGATCAAATTTTGCAACGACCTCTGTCGCCTTCATCAGGATAATTCATGACCAAACACTTCCGGGCGTACTTTTCCGAGAGTTCCAGACATGTGACCTTATTCACAGGAGACTTTTCATGGGTCCGCAACTTCACGTTCGGATGCGACCGCGGTCGTTGAAATTTGATCATTGTGTACCCTTGGTGTTCGAAGTGTATAACACTGCAATATGACTTTGAATTTGTTAGAATCATGGGTAAAAGGCAGAGGAAAAGAATACATCTATGAAAGTTTTATTCGGGGTCATTATGTCAATAATGTGAGATTGATAGAAGGGATTTCCTTCTACATGTAGATGTTGTCACGTTGTCACCACAGGGTACCTGAGTACCACGGATAACAGCGCTGTTGGTAACTTCGCACTAATGGACCAAATTGCGGCGCTGCGGTGGGTGAATGACAACATAGCCAATTTTAAGGGTGACCCTACTCGCGTTACCCTGTTTGGCCCTGAGACGGGAGCTGTTAACATCAATCTGCTGACCCTCGCACCTGAAGCAGCCGGTGAGTCGGTCTATCATTTGGGTACATCTTTTTGGTTCATCCTTGCGAGTCGCTTTTGTAATTTAAATTTTTAATTTGGTCTCTTCAGATGTTGGTGACGAATTTTAGTGAACAAAAATTAGAATTAAATTTGGATATTTTAAAGGATTTTTACATGCTATATGCTCGGTACATGGGCCTTTTGTAAGTTAAATTCTAATTTGGTGACGAATTTTAGTGAACAAAAATTAGAATTAAATTTGATATTTTCACATGCTATATGCTCAGTATGTGGGCCTTAACCCACTGTGTTGCAGGTCTATTCAGAAGAGCGATTCTTCAGGGTGGGTCGGCTATAGCTTCCTGGTCATTGTCTCCCGACCCAAGGCGCTTTTCTAATCTTCTAGCAGAGAACGTTTCCTGCTGCAGGCCCAACACTACACTGGTTAGATCTACTGTCTTCAGTTACAGCGTTATGTCACATTTCAGTATTAAACACACTCGTAAGGCGTCATATTTTGACACAGCCACTTCCTGATTTTCACTTATTTGCAATGGAGAAGGGTTGAGGCAAATTACTTTCGTCCTAAGGCCACACCAATTTAATTTGTTGCTTCTCGGATTGCCCCGTCCATTTTTTTCTGATTTGCAAAAAAAAAATTCCTTTTTTTCTAACTTAACTGCCAAATACAGCAGCGGTTGAAAAATGTCCTTTTCTTCCTAGTTCTTAAAGTTTTTACAATGTAACAATGTAATTTTGTTTACAATGTAACAATGTAATTTTGTTTACTAAATATTCAAAATCTATTGTTTTAATTATAAACCAGCCTGCTATGTTCACTTCATGGCTCATATTGTAACATTTCCGGCTATCACGGGGTGCCTTGGCCTGTTTTTTTTCGCCCTGTTGCTTCATATTTTTCTGAAAAAAAAAACGAGATACAACACCTTAAATTGGTGTGGTCTAATGTTGCATAATGCAGATCTTAAAGAATATTGGCTATATGTCCAACATACAAATAAGGTGGCAAATGTCAAGATTTCCTCTACTGACCAATCAAACCCGTAAACCACTTAAAAACCATGCCAATTGTTCAATGACCGCCTTCCAGAAAAAGCTAACATACAGTCAATATTTGGCACCACTAGGTATGCCTTCTGGAAACGTTTACTTCTACCATAATGATATGGTTTGAAAATTCAAAATTCCTAACATTTATTATATACTTTATACATGAAGCAAAAATTATATGATAATACCAACGTTCCGATAAAATACATTTAAAACTAGAGTTTCACGACTTCATACCTTTGCCAAATTATGTTTACCTTACAACTGATGAATTATGTTTTCATTGACAATACAAATAATATCATTTGCCTGTTGTGAATTATATCATGAATTACATCATGATATACATTGCATATCATATCATCCACCTAATGACAATCTTAACAAAGAAGGCCATTCTAACATTTCCTCATGGGTAATGCAAATGAGGTCCTGATTTGAATAATTTATGTCTAATAATGTTCACCTTTATTTAACTTCGAAATGCTGCAAGTGTGAAATTCCCAGCAGGAATTCCGACTTTTTCTCAATAATTATGCGAATAATGCCTTCATTTACATATTGATATCTGCTGATGTCCTTTTGTTCTCAAATACATATGTCACAAGTTTGTTAAGTCTTATCATAGAACAAAGCGGTTTTAAAGAATTCCCTCATTAATTATTCAAATTAGATCCTTATTTGCATTATCATCATCTCATTTTGTCAAGCATCACTTAAGCTAATCTAATATATATATATATCGAAATTCACGACCATTCCTCTAGCGGTTCTTGAGTTATCCTCCTTGAAGAATTTTTCAACAAACGCCCCTGTAGTTCCCGAGCAAGCCGCTAGGGGACCCAAACTCATGTCACTTCTTTTCCAGCACAAGACCTACCTATTATCCAAATTTCGTGCCCCAAACCTGGACGTACCGTTGCGGTACCAAGAAAAGCAGTCAGGGGACCCAAAATCTAATAATCTTAGGTGTCATCAAGACCTACCCACCTACTAAATATCACGACAATCTATTAAAGCCTTCTCTCTAGTAATCGTGTTTACAGACACATAAACACACAGACACACACGAACGCCTCTGAAAACATAACCGTCTTTGCGAACGTAACTACAACAACACGCACCACTAACATAACATGTACTCTCATAATACGACCATTACTACACCAGTCATGAACCCATCATCAACATGTCAGACATAGTAACATAACTGCCATGAACCCTACCTTCAAACATAGACACAAATACCATGAACCCTCCCTTTACACATACAGACACACCAGTAATGAACCCTCCCTTCACACATATAGACACACCAGTAATGAACCCTCCCTTTACACAAACACAACTGTCACGAACCCTCCCTTCACACATACAAACCAGTAATGAACCCCCCCTTCACACATACAAACCAGTAATGAACCCTCCCTTCACACATACAAACCAGTAATGAACCCTCCCTTCACACATACAAACCAGTAATGAACCCTCCCTTCACACATACAAACCAGTAATGAACCCTCCCTTCACACATACAAACCAGTAATGAACCCTCCCTTCACACATACAAACCAGTAATGAACCCTCCCTTCACACATACAGACCAGTAATGAACCCTCCCTTCACACATACATCATCATCCGCCATACATCGGCATACATCATACATCATCATACATCATCAACATACATCATCAACATACTTCATCATCATACATCATCAACATACTTCATCATCATACATCATCAACATACTTCATCAACATACAACATACAAACCAGTAATGAACCCTCCCTTCACACATACAGACACAACTGTTCCAGGAACGAAAAGTATGAAAGCCTTAAAAACACACTAAACAAGTTTAGTATCACTAATCATGAGTGCTATTTGTTTATAATGTTGATATAAATTGCTTCTTTTTGTTCACGCAAACAGCCCGGCCGGGCACCGTTTTGAAATATATGTATGCCCCAATGATAAAATATCATTTAATATTTTCTATAGGGAGTTGAATGTCTCCGCAATGTACCATGGAGAGATCTTCTTGCGGTGGAGATAAGTTCCCCGAATCCTTTCAAATCTACATTTGGACCGATCATAGATGGTGACGTCGTTCCAGACAATCCCAAAACACTGATGCGTGGAGAACTGTTCCGGAGTTACGACATCCTAATGGGCGTGACGGAACAAGATGGGTACAAGTATGTCGAAGATTTCCCTGGGGTAGATGAAGGTATTGATGATGAGGGGTTTCGTTTAATAATCGGTGACTTCGTCAACCAAGTTTACCCCTACAGAGAAAACGAGATACAAGATGCCGTGGCGTTCATGTACACGAACTGGGGCGAGGAAAACAACAGAACGAGAAGAGACGGTGTGGTCAGGATGTTTACAGAGCACCAAGTGGCCGTGCCACTTATCATATTGGGCAACTTGCATTCCAACGAAAACTATGAGACAAGCACGTATTTCTACACGTTCAACCACAGACCGAGCTCCAGTCCGTACCCAGCCTGGGTGGAAGCGGCACACAGTGAGGACCTTCCCTTCGTCCTCGGTGCTCCACTGGTGGGACTGCGGATCTACAGAGATTCTAACTACACAAAGTCGGAGATTATGCTGAGTGCCGCCATCATGACATACTGGGCAAACTTTGCTAAAAGCGGGTAAGTCGGATGCTTTGTGTTCACTAACGTTTTATAACGTTTGTCATGTCCTGGCATGAAAAACTCATATTTACGCCCCAAGTCATGGTGTTCCTTTTGTTTTGTTACCCTTGCCATTTGAGGTATGTTTACAATGAAGTTTATTTGAATGAAAGATCATATGTGTTGGTAGAATCCATAGTTGTAAACATAGTCTTTCAATGTACAATATACATGTGGCAGCCAGTTAATTGCAAAACGCTTATAAGAAAAAGTCTGCTAATTGAAAAGAATTGTGAAAACCCAAACCGTTTCCCATTGACACCATTGTTTATCAGCCCCTTATTTGAAAAGCCAATGCCGGCTAATTGAAAAAAAAATTGTCAAGTTGCAACACATTTTCAACCAAAAACATGCCAAACAAATCACCAAAATCGGCGGAAAATTTCTTATATCAAGACATCAAGCCGCCAAAAGGGACGAAGTTGTCTGTTTTGAACCACAAAGGAGGCCGAAATTTACGTTGATCGAGCGGTCGGGCGCACATCGGCACTACGTAATGAGAAGCGCGAGCCGGTTCATAGCCGCCAAATGCGGCATGCTTTTGTGTTCTTTTAGCCTGTTTATTCCAAGAACGTTTAATTTCTCATACAACTCATTTTTTAATCATCAAAACCATGTCTCTACTTGTGTACTGCGCCATTATTTTGAGTTTATTTCGACTGCGACACGGCGCTATCG